ACTTGTCCTTGACCGGAATCAAACCTGCTACCCCTTGGTGCTCAGGCTAACGCTCCAACCACTTAGTAACACCAGCCAGGGCCATGTTCTTTATTTTTGTTCTCTGACCCCACGACTGAGACAGTTGACCTCTGTGTTTTTATATTTCTTTGTCTATTTCTGGATCACTGTCTCCCCAGGAGAATGTGAGTCCCAGGAGGGCGTGGGACGGTTGGTTGGTTTGCTGCTATGTCCAAAGCACCCAGAACGGGGTCCACATACTGTGGAATACAATTAGCTGGCTGACCCGCTGACCTGTGGCTGATGCCTCTATCCATCCCACAGTCCTAAATGACTGAGAGAATGAGGAGCACCCATCACCCTGTCTGGGTTCCCCTTGCCTAGGGCACTTACCAATGCCCAGCTGACCTCCACCTCAACACATGCTGCTCCAGCAGATGGGAATCCAGTCCTTGAGATTGACCCTTCCTTTGTTGACCCTGACCATGACCCAACCTAGGATTCTGGCTTAGCCAGGGTTTGTTTGAGTTAAAGCTTACGTGTTCCTATCCCACAAAAGAGGGATTATGCCCCTGTGTTTCCAGTTCTGATTTCTGTCTTTCTTTCCGATGGTTCCGGTGGTTCCGGGACTCGTGTGACTGGGCTTTTGTTGCAGCTGTCAGCCATGTCACCGCAATGTTTCCTTGGAATCCTGAGTCAGTGGGTGGGCTCTGGGAAAGGAACGAGGCTGCCTCCGCTCCTTTGTCCTCTGCCCAGCTTTTATTTACTCATTTTCAAGCTGTCTCATGGGGTTGTTTGCTGATCAAAAGATGCATTTAGTGTAAACATTCTTTTTAATTTTGAAAATACAAAGAAGATGGTAAGAGTCACCTGTGACGACACCACCAAGAAATAAACATTGTTGCCATTTTGGGGCATTTCCTTCCAGTATTTTTTCTAGATTAAAATTTTTTTGATAAAAAATAGTAGAAACCACTTCTTTTTTTCACTTGCTAAGAGCCTTCAGTACGTTCTCTATATTGTCTTGGGACAGCTGCCTGGTGGCCCACCATTTATTTACTGAATTCCCTATTGCTGGACATTTAAGCTGGTCCCACTTTAGGGCCATTATCATAATGCTGCAATGAGCAGCCTAATATTTCATTTTTCCTGCACCCCTGGGCTCCCTGGCACAGAACCTACACAGACCCTGCGCCAATGGCAATGGGTATGAGCCTTCCAAATAATGTATTTGTCCCTGGAAACAGGCCATTCCTCACTGCGTATCTACCGAGGTCCCTCTGCTATAAGCCAAGGTTATCCAACCCTGACCCACAGTATCAAGGAGCCCAACATCCTTATCTAACAGTTGGGGAAACTGAGGCCCAGAGATAAGAAGAGTTGTCCGAAGGCATTCGCAAACTCCACGTTGTCTAGATATTTCCTCCCCACTTTGTCTTCTCTTTGACATTTTGCAAGGGAATGCAAAATCTGCAGCAAAGAGGCAGGTGGTTGCAGCGAGGATGTAGCATCTGCACTGCTCATGGCAGACACTGCTAATCAATCATCACACTCTTCCCCGCTGAGTCCAGACCCTGAGGACTTCTCCAACAGCCAGTACCAGGCAACGAGAGGCGAAGTGTTTCTGCCATCCTGGTTGCACCTTTGGGGCCAACAGAGAGCCTTTTTAAACTGTGGACTTGATGTCACTCCAGCGAGTTCCTCAAAGTGTCTCCCTTCTTGCCTTTCGAGTGAGTGGCAGTCCACAAGACCTCCCGTTTCCACCTGTCCAACCCCGCCATGTCCTCAGAAACCATTTCTGGTTTCCTACAGGACCACAGACTTCCCAGAAGCAGCCCCTCACCCCAGCTGGAGGTGATGGGTTGGGCTGCACAGGGGAGCAGAGCATGCTCCAGAGTCAGCCAGAGCTGGGTCCAGATGCTGGCTCCACATTTTATGGCTGTGGGACCTTGAGCAGGTCACTCCCTTTCCCCAAGAACCTTCCTTCTCTGGAAAATGAGGGCGATCACACCTCTATTTTCTCCGACCTGGCCTCTGGATGGTGACCTGTAGAAAGGAGATGGTCTTTCCCACTCCACCACTTCGCTATGTCAGAGTGACCAGCTTCAGCTGAACATCAAACTCCCTCTCTCCACCTGGAACAGAGGCTGCCATGGACCAGCTTGTAGAGAGACAGGGGAGGGGAGGCTCCCTCGCACACACCCCTTTCCCCTCTATCTCTGGCAAGAACGAGAGGAAAGAGGGCAGGAGAGATTTCCCCTGACTGATAGGTGGCTCCCTACACTCTGGGAAGCCAAAACATGCTTCAAGTTGAGTCTCACGGCACCTTCTCTGGGGGGAGACCAAGCCTTCCTGGCAGGTCTCTCAGGCTGTAACCTCAGATATGGACAGAGCTTCTCCAACTAGTCACTCTGCGTGCCACCTCAGCCCCCGGCCCTCTGGCACCCTTTCCTCACCTCCCAGGGGAAACCAGCCCCAGACCAGATCTCTCCTGCAGGGTCCACACTGGGCCCTCGGAAAAACACACACAAGCTTTGACCCCATCCAGAGGGAGCAAAGAGTTATAATTTTCAACTTACAGAAGCTGCGCTCTCTGCCAAACTTTTTCCTTTTTTGTTACTTCTCACCCGGGGATACTTTTCCACTTATTTATTATTTTTAGAGAGAGTGGAAGGGATGGGGAAAGACAGAGAGAAACATCAATGTGAGAGTGACACATCGATTGGTTGCTTCCCGCGCACACCCTGACCAGGGCCAGGAAAGGAGCCCACAACCAGCATGCAACCAAGTTACATGCCCTTGACCAGACTCGAACCCAGGACCTTTCATTCTGCAGGCTGACACTCAATCCACTGAGCCAAACCGGCTAGGGCTCTCCACCATAACTTTAGCTCATCAGCCTTGCCTCAGGCAAGAAAGAGAATCCAGGATATTCCTTGTCCCAACTTCAGGGACCCTCAAGCCCTTACTTAAATTGTCCTTGAAAATCCCACTCCCTCTCTGCCTGCATTAGGGGCAAACACCCTTGTCCTCCTCCCTGGGAAAGTGGGAAAAGGGACCACAGCTGTCTCCTGTTCCCTCTTGACCTTTTTATCACCTTGATCCGGGTGAGGAGCTCCCGCATGAGGGACTGAAGAGCTATGCGGCCAGTTCTTGGCTACCTGCTTCCATTGTGGTCTGGCCCCTTCCTTGGTATACAGCAGTGGTCGGCAAACTGCGGCTCACGAGCCACATGCGGCTCTTTGGCCCCTTGAGTGTGGCTCTTCCACAAAATACTGACTTCTGCGCATGGGCCACGAAGTTTCAGTCACACTGTACGTGTGTGCCCACACGTGGTATTTTGTGGAAGAGCCACACTGAAGGGTCCAAAGAGCCGCATGTGGCTCGAGAGCCGCAGTTTGCTGACCACTGGTATACAGCATCCGTGGGATTGTAGTGTCTCAGATGACACTATTGAAGACACCCATGAGTGGGCAGTGAGAGAGAGAGAGAGCTTTAATTTAGACACAGTGGCCAGTAAAGGCCTTTCCAAGGAGGGAAACTGAAGCTGAAACTTGGTGAAGGAGAAGGAGCCAGCCAGGGGAAAGCTAGGAAATGAGAACTCCTGGGAAAGGCTCAGCACGTGCCAAGACCCTGAGGTAGGAATGAGAGGAGACAGCAGCAAAGTGATGAGAGATGAGGGCTGAGAGGTGGACAGCAGCCAACCGTGTGGGGTCTCCCAGAGTTTGGATTTCCATGCAAGAACTGCAGAGGCCTGGGGTGGGGGAGGGTTAATAAACAGGAGAGTGACAAGGTCTGAGGAATATATTTAAAATTTAACTCAGGTTGTTGGGTGGAAATTGGAATTTGGTAGGGGGACCAAGAGAGGGAAGAGGGAGACTGGAGAGGAGACTGGGATGAGTAAGTGAGTGAATGATGGATGGATGGATGGATGGATGGATGGATAAAATGGACATCTCTCAAGGCAAAGGGGAATCCAAGCCCCAAGAGAGTACGTAGTTAGTACTTTGGGGGCTCCCGGGAAGGCAAAGGGATTCCAGGTGTAGGTAGAGCTGAGGACAGGCCACTTTATGCAGATCCTGCTTTCTGAATTGGGTCTTGAAGGTCAGTGATATTATTTCAACAGTAGTAATAGCCTCCACCATTTACTGAATTCTCTGGTGTTCCAAGTATTCCACATTGTCTTATGTGACCCTCAAAAGAGTCCCATTTTACAGCTGAGGAAAGAGCTGCTCAGAGAGAAGTCACCTTCCCACAGCCGCACAGCTGGCCAGCCCAGGAGCAGACGTTGCACCACGTCTGTGAAACTCCAAAGGCTTCCCCTGCTCTGCGGCCCACACAGGGCAAGACGGATTGTCAGGGGGATGGGGCATGGCATCCCAGGAAGAGGACACAGCACAATCAAAGGCCCGGGAGCTGGGAAGGGGCGAGGCCGGGATAAAGAGGCCCTCGGCAGTCTGAAGGGAACTGAGCAATATTGAGGGCACGGCCGTGGCAACCCGTGGGTTCCAAAGTGTGCCAGGCCTAAAGAGGCACAGTCATGCTTGCAGACCCCAGGGAACGTGTGGGACCGAGGGGCAGGAAGCAGGAGCTGATGCGGGCCCAGGCCCTGACACTGAGCTCGGGCCTCCCACAGAGAGGCATTGTTCATAGGCAGCAGGCATGGCCATCTGGGAAGCCCAGGAGGGGCTGCTTGCCTCTCTGGAGATGTGCCCAAGGGATGTGCAGGGTCCCTCCCAGGAGACTTCACCTTTAGGAGTTGGAGGTCTTCGGCGCATTAGCAAACATAGCTACAATGTGCCTGGTCCAAGTGCCTGCCATGTGCCCCAGCACCCGGCCCACCCTTCATGACAGCCCAAGACCTTTCTCCAAACATCAGGAAGCTGGAATCTTGGGGCTGCTCCAGGCAAAGATGTGGTTCAACAGAAGCCACAAATATTTTCCTTGGACACCTTGGCCCACTCTGTGGCCTCAGCCCAAATACAAAGGGTAACTGCTTAGCCCAGAGTATGCAGGATATAAAGCTGGACTTCCAGACCCACTGCCCAGGTGAGGAGGAAGCTGAGGACGCTGGTGTGTCCAGGTAAAAGTGTGGGGAAGGGGCTGAAAGCCTAGGGTACCAGGGAGGTTCTGAACTGGAGACACCTGTTGGGGTCAGGTCAGAAGCAGGAGGGAGTCTTGGTCCTCAGGTAAGGTCCCTCTGTCGACTAGGACCCTCTGAGGGGGTAGAGAGGCGCCCAACTCCCTTACTCAGAAGACCAGAGAATGGTCCTGAGGAGTAAGAATGGCTGAGTCTTTCCCTGGCTTCATCCGGATGACATAAACCCATTCTGCACACACCAATTGCATTGTATCCAGCCCTGGGCTTGGGTGATTCTGGAGACAAGAAGTATCAGACAGTCCTGGCCCTCCTAATATAGGCCAATGCAGTATGTGCTGTGCTCAAGGAAATCCCAGGGGTACGGTGTGGTGGGAGGGGGCAGTCAGGGAAGGCTTCCAGGAAGCGGTGACATGTCAGGTGAGAACTGAGTAAAAGTTGGTTGGAGAAAGGCATCTCATGCAAAGGGAATCACATAAGCAAATGCCAGGAGGTGAGATATGATGTGGTGTGTGGGGGGGGGCGGGGGGTGCTGGGATTTAGGGAGGAGACACTTTTCCACAAAACAGATGCTACCATCCTATTGGTTCTCTGAGTGTCTCTGATCAGAGAACAGAGTGACGTGCAAAGATAAAGGAAGGAAAATAGAACTAAGATGCTTAAAAGAAACTTCCTGGGCAAAAGAGCAGAGTGCAGGGCATCTTATCTGTTTTCTCGCTTTAACTGCAAGGTGATTCTTTCTGAGCCCAGGATTAGTAATAATAACTGTTGTACTCATAATAACAGCTAATATTCATTGAGCTCTTATAGCATGCCAGGCCACAAATGGATGATTTCATTTAATCCTCCCAACAACCTTGTGATGTAAGTATTATTAGTATCCCTAATTTTATAGATGAGAAAACTGAGACTCAGAGAGGGTAAGTCCCTTGCCCAAGGTCACACAGCAAGTGGTAGAGGCAGTCCACCAACTCAGGTCTGTCTGACTCTGATGCCCATATTTCTCCTCTACCCTTAGGCTTCCTGGCACACAGGGATGGGGGATCCTGTGACTCCACAGGGATCCCCATGGCCTAGACCTTTTCAGTTTAGCAGGCTTAGATTCCCCATTCTTCCAGGGCTCCCAAAGGTCATTCATTCATTCAGCAACCATTTGTTTATTAAACACCCATTGTGTTCCAGGCACTGTGTTGGGTGCTGGGGACACAATGGGGAGCAGGCAGACCAATACTCCCTCCCAGAGCTCATGGCCTGGTCAGGGAGGCAGGTGTTGAATCATTATTGCAAGTGTCTCTAAGAGCTCACGCTATTCCTAATCACTTCACTAAACAGCCTCTGCTGGAATCCGTGCCCAAGTCACCAGGCGTGGAGGACCTGCCTTTGGCCTCTCTGCCTGGCTAACAGGGCCCTTTATGCAAACCCCAGGTTCTCACATCTGCCACCTGCTGCTCCTTGGACCCCAGGAAGATGGCCAGTTCAAGGATCTTCGCCCTCCTCTGTGGTTTGCTGGCAGCCACCTTGGTCGGAGCCACCCTCAATCCTCCTGCAGTCCTCATAGTCGGCCCAAAAATCATGAGAGAGAGTAAGTCTTGGCCGCCCAGGCTTCAGCACCATAAGGCAATGGGGCAGGTGGAGCAGCTCTCCAATGGAAGGCAGGAGCTGCCCATGACTGGGGGTGTGCAAGACACAGTTGGGACCCAGGTCTAGATGAGACTCGAGTGGGTAAATTGTAAAGGCTGAAAGTGTCTGTGATCCCAAGAGTCCATGATTCCAAGAAACCCTCCTTAAATGCCATGATTCCAAAACTGACCACTCTGAGGTTCCGCAGCCTGCAGAAGGGGGGTGGCCCTGGGTGTGACCATGCAACTGCTCTCGCCTAAAACCCACTGGCAAAGCACCTCCTCAGAGTCTGAGTCAGTGACCAACCAGTCCCCAGAGAGGAGACCCTCGGCTGCAAACCCCGCGGCCTGGATCCCAGGCACAGCTTTCTCACCCTCCAACTCTGCGGCCCGGGAACCTTCCAGAGCCTGGGCTTTGTCCTTTGGAAACAAACAGGAAGGCCTGCCTCCCCAGGTTGCTGGGACTGTCCCATAGGACAGGGATTGACAAGAACTTGGCGAACTCTCTGGTCTAGTTTCTCGACGTCAGCACTTCTGACCTTATGAGCCAAGTAACTCTTCACTGTGGGGGTCTGTCCTGTGCATCTCGATGCTTAGCCGCATCCCCAGCCCAGTGCTAACAGCCAAAATGTCTCTAGACATTCTGTCTCTTAGGGAACAGGAGCGCCCTGGTTGAAAACCATCGCTCCAAAGTGCTGTGCCCAGAGCACGTGATAACCAGTTGGCTCTGGAAATCCATCTAAACACTTAGAGGCCAGCCCTCTGCATGCTCTGGACCTGGGCCAGGCTGGACGGGCAGGCGCGGGACTGGGTCCTGCAGGGCCACACAGCTGCTGCAGCCGGAGGAGGGGTCCCACAGTAGGGACAGGGGCAGAGAGCGCTGGGTGCTGAGGGGGCAGGCAGAGGTGCCCTGGGCCCATACCGTGAATCGCAAGCACAGTGCCAGCCAGAAGGAGCTTGGACATGAGCAACCATGGCAACCATGGTGTAGGTCCCCTGGCAGCAGAATCTGAGTTAAGGAGTTGTTGGCGAGTGGTTGGCCTCAGAGATGCTCTCAGAAAACACCCGCAGGCAAGGGCGGGCCAGTTGCCACAGGGAACTGGAGCTCAGTCCTACTGGGCAGCTGTGTTGGTTAGGACAAGTGAGGAGACAGAAACCGCATGGTAAGCCCGACACACGAGTTTATATAAAGAATTATGAGCAGGGGGTCGGAGTCATGGGCCATTGGCTAGGAAAGAAAATAAAAACTCCAAAGAGGATTGGGGAGGCGGGAGAGGCTAATCCAGGGACAGAATAAGCTTGGAGGGGAGAATCCTCCCTGACCTCCTGGGAGGAGTGAGGTTGAAGCCCACGGGATGGTGGGGACATCTGTCCAGTTGTCCGGGTCAGAGCGGGTGCACAGCTGGCAGGCTGGCAGCGGGCAGAGACCTGCCTGCGAGGAGCCGATGGAATTCTCTGGGAAGCTGCCCGCGAGGATCCCAGAGTAGGGACAGGGGCAGAGAGCGCTGGGTGCTGAGGGGGCAGGCAGAGGTGTCCTGGGCCCATACTGTGAATCGCAAGCACAGTGCCAGCCAGAGGAGCTTGGACATGAGCAACCATGGCAACCAGCAGGAAGGCGGTTGCTGTTGGTTCACTGGGAAGCCTTCTCAGGAAACTTCCTGGACAGGAGCTGGGGCCCACAGTCCTGCTGAACTCGAGCCTGGACCCCACAGGAGCCTGCGAGAGGAGCACAGCAGGGCCGGGAGGGGGAGCACTTGCTGCTGCAAGGCCCTCCAGAGCCTCTACTGACAGGGCTTAACGTCGCACCAGCAGCGAAGGAGGACCACTTACAGGGCCCATCTCCATCATCACAGAGCTGGCTAAAAGGGTGGTTTTGTTGCCGAGGGGCAATAACACACAGGGACTCTGGGGCGCAGTGGGGCACACATACACCTGAGTCATCCCACCTGAGGGCTGAGGGAGCAGGGTGTTTATACACCAATTCCCGTCCGTCACTGGGCGAGGGCTCTCCAGCATCAGCTCTCCGGCACCTCTGACCCGCTCTGCACACAAGCCAAATGGACAGAACCCAGGGCTCCTGGCTCCCAGGCCCCTGACCCAACCTCCTCCTTTCTCTGCTCAGCACTCGATACTCTTTGGACAACAGACCCATAGAATGTGGATGCCAGAGAACTGTGTTTTAGGCAGCAAAACAGCCCCAAACAGGGACCTCTGAGTTCCCTGCCTCTTGGCTCCAGAAGTGTTTGCCGCCGGCTGGTGGGAGGGATGCAGAGGCTGGCAATGCTCAGGGGGGTGAATGATCCGCCCATGCCCTAGTCGCCCCGATCTGGGCCATCATGCTCAAGGCCACATCAATGGTAGAGATGGCCAGGATGGAACCATCCATACCCTCACCTTGAGTCCAGATCTGAGTAGTCCTGCGTGATGCCCTCTCCCAGCCTGGAGCCCCTCCTTGCCCCTCCTGCTGGACTCTAATCCCCAGAATCTGTCTCCAGAGCTGGCACAGAAGCTGAAGGACCATGATGCGATCCAGATCCTCCAGGACCTGCCTCTGCTGAGCACCCTGCGGGAAGAGCCGGCCGGGGGCATCCCCATTCTAGGCAGCGTAGTGAACTCTGTCCTGAGCCACATCGTCTGGTAAGTTGGGAACTCCCCGTCCACACTTCTGCCCAGGACACACTTTGCACGTTTATTTGGTCAGTCAATAAGCATCAATCGGTATCGAATCTCTGTCTGACCACAAAGAATGGGACAAATGAAGTCCCTTCCTCAGAAGCTCCCAGATGAATTAATAACCATAAGAGAGTCAGATGGGAGCCTGATAGGGTGACTCCAGAGGAAGGTCACCTGGGGTGAGAGGGTGAAGGTGATGCTTCTAAGTCTCGGTGACAGGTGAGCCATTGACTGCATGTTCACCAGGAGACAAGAAGGAAATGGTATTCCAGGCAGAGGGGCCAGCCTGGGGAAAGGCATAGAGGGTGAGAGGCGGCCAGAATGGCTGGTGCTCAAACCCCAAGGTAAGGACTGGGAGGTCAGAGGGGTTCGTTCCCAGAGGGTCTACAAAGTCAGCCCAAGGAGCTGGGATTCATCTCTTAAGTAATGGGGAGCCATGGGAGTGTTGAGAGCAGGAGCATGGCAGGGGGGATGTGGCAAGACCATGCTGGGGAAGATCCAGTGGGTAGGGCTTGGGTCCAGCTGCTGGCTGGACACCAGGGAAGACCGAGAAGATTGAGGGGAATGAGTTTGTGGCCGATGCTCAGATAAATCTCACCTCTCCTGCATCCATCCAGGCTGAAAATCACCTCAGCCAACATTATGGAGCTACAGGTGCAACCCTCTGCTGACGACCAGGAGGAGCTGATAGTCAATATCCCACTGGACCTGGTGGCTGGATTCAACACGTGAGTATCCCCTCAGTCAGGCATAGCAGGCAGATTCACCCACTCATTCCCCCCTTTCCTCTATGCAGGTATCTGGAAAAGAGTTCTAAGCAGAGGGAAGAGCAAGTGCAAAGGCTCTGAGGCAAGAGTACACTTGCTTTGTTCCAAGAATGGCAAAAAGGGGTGGGGTAGGAGAGAGGAGAGTCATGGGAGGTGAGGCCAGCAGGCAGCCAAGGTCAGATCATACAGAGCCTTACGGACCAAAGTGAGGACTTGGCCTCTACTGAGTGAGATGGGAGCCATGGCGGGTTCTGAACAAAGGAGAAACATGACATGTTTAATATTCTTGAAGAATAACTCTGGTTGTTGTATATGGAGGCAAGAGCAGAGGCGGGGAGGCCATCCAGAAACTACTGAAACAATTCAGAGGGAGACCATGATAGCTTGGACTGGAGTTGGGGGGCGGGGGCAGGAAGATGGTGAGAAGTGGTCAGATTCTAGATACATTTTGGAGGTAGGTGCAGACAACAGCATTTCCTGATGATTGCATGTGGGGGGGAGAGGAGGAGAGAGATTAAGGAGTCAAAGCTGAGTCCAAGGTTTTTGCCTGTGCAACTGGCAGGATGGTGTGGCCAGCAACCAAGACAGGGAAGATCGTGAGAGGAGCAGGTTTGGGCAGGATGCACAGTTCAGTTTTGTGCATGCTGAATGTGAGATGCCTGTAAGATACCTGAGTAAGGAGTTGGGTATAAATTCGGAAGCTGTTTTAGGATTTAAACCAGGAGAGGAATAAAAAAAAAACAGAGCTGGAACATGCTGGGGTAA